CGGTGTGTGCAGGGCTGTGCCTCTGGCTCCCAGTGCTCTCGGGATGGGGCCTCCAGTCTGTGTCCATCATTTTCCTGGCAGTCTTTTGGACAAATGACCATCAGTGTTTTGTGCTCTGTAATTGCTGGGCCAGGATCATGCCCTCCATGGCATTTGTGTGGATGTTGGCCCCTGATGCCTTGTCAGAGTCCTCTCAGTGCTGTGGTGATGTGCAGAGTTGAAAAACAGATCCAGCTGCTGCCTCTGCCCTTTCTTTTCCACAGCATCTGTTTTGTGGGGCTTGGCAGAGGTGAGGGAAGCTGCTGGGTGCCACTGATGCCAGGGAAAAGCTGGAAATCCGTGGCTAAAGGGGCAGGGAAGCTCCTGCACTGCTAAAGCCAGGCCTGAGGGCTGCAGGGAGATGCTCTCCTGGGCTTGCTCAGTCTCTTCTGCCTCTGAGTCAAGACCAAAAGCCCTGCAGCCTGTCTGGGCTCCTGCAGGGCTGGGGCAGGAGCCTGGCTGTGATCCCAGGGCTGGGAGCAGGGACCAGCCTTGCTGTGACTCCTGTGCCACTCATGGGCAGGTCTGGAGCATTTCCTGCTGCCTCCCAGCACCCCCTGTGATGCCAGGGCAGTGTTCCCATGCCATGCCATGCCATGGGCTCTGTGAGGAGCCTCCAGCAAGCCCAGCCTTGTGCTGGGCTCATTGCACTGAAGGGAAACGCTGTGCCTGTGCCAAACCAGGGAATGTTTTGGGTTGGGGGAGCTCCTCCTGCATGGCCAGGGAATGGTGTGAGGTGTGCTGCCTGTGTTTGGGGTGCTGGGTTTTGTCTGCTGTTCCTGTAAGTGGGTGGTGATGCCAGGAAAGCCCTGCCCTGCCGTGCTGAAGGGCACATCTGGGCACATCTGGCTCCTTCCTGCTGCCTCTCCACCCCAGCTCAGCCCAGGCACCACCGTGGTGTCCCTGCAGTGTCACCGAACCCTCTGGGGCCAGCTCTGGCACAGCCTCTCCTTTTCCATGCCCTGCTCCAAACTGGAAAACACCCAGGTGGGAATTTCTGCTGCAACCCCCGGGAACTTTGTGCCAACTCCACACTCTGGGTAGAGAGAAGATGAACCAGGTGGCCAGGAGGGAACCTGGCAGCATTTCCTTCCCCAGCTCTCTCTGCAAGAGCGTGGTTTCCTTTATCACATTTGTTTTTCTTGTCTCCACGGCCCCTCTGTGGCAGCACAAGGCTGTGCTGGGGGGTTCTTTCCGTTCTGGGTGACAAGGACACCTCAGAGCCACCCCAGAAACGTGGGTGGCTGTGGCACAGGATGCTGTGGCTTCCAGCAGCTGCTCACACAAACAACGTGAGCTCCTGTGCTGCACAGCAGGGCGGGGAATTGCTGAGCTGGGTCAGTTGTGCTGCAGTTTTTGGGCCCTGGCAGGGTGGATGTGGGGGCACTGGGGTGCTGGGGGTACAGACAGGGCCCTGTGCCTGCTGGAGGATTCAGTTCTTGTCACAGAATCATCACAGAATCATCACAGAATCACAGAATATCCTGAGCTGGAAGGAACCCGCAAGGATCATCAAAGCCCAGCTCCTGATCCTGCACTGGACCCCCCCCAAGTTAAAATTAATTTATTAAGACAGTTAAAACCTCAAATCTGGGATGTCCCCAGAGGCAGCCTGGACAATCCCAGCCCCTGCCATCCCCCACTGTGTGACATGTGCTCCAACCCTCCCACCCCTCCCTCCTGCCCTGACAAATGATGGGCAGAGGGGTCTAAACCCCTTCCATGACCTGAAAGCTCTTAATGAGATTCCCTAATTGCTGCAAGGGTGCACTGCAGACTGACATGCAGCTCAGATTTCACTATAACCACACGTGTGCCTACAGAATATTCAGGAACACCAGTCCAGGTCGTTCAGAAAACTCGTGGGTGCCCTGCACCTTTGGAAACCATTCCTGCTTGGCTTGGCCCACAGAGCATGGAGGAAACAAATCCTCACACGGGAATGGCCCTGGGAGCTCTGGAGTCCCTCTGTGACCCCAAGGTGCAAAGTGCCAGGAAAAGCTGCAGGCAGCCCTCACCTGCAGTGCCTTGGCAGCCTCTGGGCTGCCAGCCAAGGCTGCTCTGTGCTCGGGGCACCTGGTGGCCCCTGGTGCCCGTGGGGAGTGCCTGGCACACAGGGCCACCCCTGCCAGGAGCTGCCCTCACCTTTCCCACCTGATGGCTCTTCTTTTCTTGTCCCTTTCTGCCTGCCAGAGGCTTTTCTGCCCTGCTGGAAAGGGCAGGAAAAAGTTGGTGGGCACTGCCCCTCTGAGTGCCAGCCAGGTGAGTGAGAGCCAAACCCTGCTCAGAGCCATCAGTTTGTAACCACCCTTGGGCCTGGGCAGTGTTTGGTGAAATTATCTTTCGAGATAAGCTTCTTGTGGGTGGTTTTTCTTTTTTGTTTTAGCTGATACAGAAAGTTCCAGACACACCCAGGAGGCGGGAGCTGTCCTGACCAGGCTGGGAGGAGCGAGCTGGGTGCCAGCTTGGGGGCACCTTGGTACCTGGTTCTGGTTTGTCAGACCTAAAATGCCTCCAGATCCTGCTGTGGGTTAACACAGGATTAAGATGAGCCATGGGAAAAAATCGAGGTGACCAGCAAAGCCCTTTAACTCGAGTGGAATTTCAAATTTAAATGTAATGTTGCAAAGTTTTTTTTTGCAAAAGAAAGATTTCGTGGTGTCTGCATGCAGACCTCTGCATTTTTGTTTTGTTAAACGTGTAGGAGGAAAGGACCCTTTTTATTTAAACTGTCACGAAGGTTTTCAGAGGTAGTGAGAGCAAGTTCCTTTCTCTTTCAACGCAGCTGCCCAAATCTGTTCTGTGTGTGCAGGCAGAGCATCCCTTGGGGCTGGGATTGTTGGGAGTTCCTTGGCTGGGGGCTGGGTTGTGATTTGGGGCTGGGGGCTCTGGCTGTGGCTGTCACTTGTGTTGCTCAAAGAACCCAGAAATGGAGCTAGCAGTGAATTGTGAGGTGGTTGTAACAGTGACTAAAACACCAATAGTGGATTTTTAGGAGCTTTGATGAGGCACAGGAACCCTGGGGTGACACAGGGTGAGGAAATCCCTGGATTTCTGGGGCACAGGAGATCATTAGGGACAGGATGTTTGCTGCAGCCCCACTCCAGAGCAGCAGCAGGACGAGGTGTGGGTGCTCCCAGCTCACACACACACACACACTGATGTCACCAGCCCTGCCTCCCCTCTGCCTCCGTGGCCAAACCCTCTGCAGGCTGGCCCTGCTCCTGGAAGGAAGTGTGCTTGGAGGGTGATCTGGGAGATCGCCAGCTCTGTTTGTTTAAATCGGATTTTTTTTTTTTTTTTATTTTTTTTTTTTGGCTGAAACGAGCTCGTTATTTTTTTAGCTGCTCAGACCACATCTGGCCACACCCAGAATTATTCTTTGGCATCGCTGTGCTTGTTGAGAATGCATATTTTGGAGTTTTCCGTGTTTCCCGTGTTCCCAGTGCCCGGCTGCAGCCTGCTGTGCCTGGATAAACACACGGGCTGCGTTTCAGAGGGATTGGCTCTCCTCATTCTCTCATTGCCAGGCTGCAAACCTGGCTGGAATTTTGTGAGGTTTGCTCTGAGGAGCCCAGGAAAGGCTGGTGGCCACTCTTGGTTTTAGTCTGCTCTGATGGATGTGATGAGGAACACAAAAATAAAGAGTTGGAATTACTCCTGGAGCTGTTTGGGGAGACAATTCCTGCCTTTCTATTTGCTCAGGAAGCTGCTGATGCTCTGCTTTAAGGTATTAAACGAGAAAAAAAAGTGTTGATGTGTCCCATTGATGCTCTGCTGGCCCCATCCCTCCTGCCAGACTGGGCTGTGCCAGGTGGGCATTGGTTCTCCTGGTTTGGGAATGGTTCACTTGTCTTCCCCATTGCTTCTCTCCACCTGCCTGTTTCAAATTCTCCTCCTGGTTCCTCTCCTCTGATGGTGCCTCTGTCACACCTGCCTGGGTTTTTTGTCCCTCTCTGCCTCTTTGCACCTGGGCTGATCCCCACGGAGCAATTCCAGCTTTGCTGCATCCCTGCTCTCCAGAACAAAGCAGTTGTCCCCACCAGGTGATAAGTGCAATTCCCCTGCCCATGCAGAGCGCCTGGAGGGTGGGATGTGGCTTTCCTGGAGCAAACAGGGAGCTTGAACCTTGTCCCCTGTGCTCCTGGAGCTGCTTTGGGTAACGTGACCCCCTCTTGATGGGTTTAGAGAGCTGAGCTGGTAAACACTGCTCGGGGCTGTCCTCAGAGTCAGCCCTGGCATTTCACTGCTCCGGAACGCTGCCCTGTGTCACCTCCACAAGGAGGAGAGCTTCTTGGAGAGGTGAAGCATCTCTTGTCCCTTGTGATCCCTGGCTGCTTGAAATTGTAATCAGTTTATGTCAGCAGCCCCAGAGGGGAGCAGGGAGCTGAGGCCAGCTCTGCCTGAGCCTGTGCAGAGCAGAGGGGAGAGGATCTGCATCTGGGAACAGCTGGCAGGGATGGCAGGGACAGGGCAGGGCTCTGCACATCCCTGGAGGGAAATGGCAACATCTGGGGAATGTGCTCGCCCTCTTTATTGACACAGCTTCGCCTCAAAATAAGAGAGCAATGAACTACTGAGCAATGTGGGGAAATAAAAATAGTTAAAAAAAAAAAAGACATGAGAGCCCTCCCCATGGCTCATTTGGCAGGGAAAAGCCAGCCTGGTGTCTCTCAGCCACGTCAGCTCGCAGCTATGACAGTGATCCCATCCTGCTGCCAGGGCGAGGCATGGAAACTGGGGGAGCTGGAAATCCTGAAGCTGCCGCTGGGGTGGGCATCAGGTACGGGGCACGGGGGTGCCACAGCCACGGGAGGGTCCCTGGGACCCTCAGTGTGGGCTCTGAGCCTGGGCTGGGGCTCAGGGGCAGCTTTGCCATGCAGGGAATCAAACCCAGCTTTTCTCTCCTTTCACCAGTGAGAAGACACAGCCTGGCTTCAATTCTCTCTTTGTTCCCCCAGATCATGATCGAGTTCTGCCCTGGAGGGGCCGTGGATGCCACGATGCTGGGTGAGTGCAGCTGTGCCCGGGGTGATGCCCACAGGGCATTTCCATCCTCCCTGGCACAACCCCACGATGCTGGGTGAGTGATGCTCTGCCTCGTGCTGATGCCCAGAGGACATTTTCAGCCCCCTGGCACTACCCTGAGTGAGTGCAGCTCTGTCCTGTGCCCGGGGTGATGCCCAGAGGACATTTCCATCCTCCCTGGCACAACCCTGAGTGAGTGCAGCTCTGCCCTGTGCCCAGAGTGATGCCCACAGGGCATTTCCATCCTCCCTGGCACAACCCTCAGACAGATGGCAGGCATGGGTGCCACAGCTGCCCTTTCTCTCCCAGGAGTTTGCCTATTTTCATCCCCTGAGCAGAAGGTGTGGCAGCCCCTGGGGAGTTTTGGAGGTGCTTTAAAATCCTTTTGTGATTTAGATGCTGCTGGGATCGGCAGATCACAAGGCATGGGGAGAAGGGAGAGTCTGGCTGCAGGGGAAAGCTGAATTTAAATATTTGTCTGCTGGGGGCACCGAGTGCTCGGGGTCCCGTTCCCACAGCTCCCAGCAGGGCTGGGATGTTTGAGCTGGGTTCCTGTCAAGATGAATTTCCCCAGATCTTTCTTTTTGCTGACTTCTCCGTATGGTATCAGTCATTTGGTGAGGCAGCAGAGCTCTGATGAAGTGCAGTTTGCAGCGATCTGCCCTTTTTGAACTCCTCCCTCCCACACAGGGACAGCTGCTGGGAGCAGGGATGCGTGGCTGGACCCCAAAAGAGCCCTGGCTGGTGGCACTGAGGGTGGCACTGGGGGTGACATCCCCTCTGCACAGCAGATGTGACATCACCCTGCCCTGGGACAGAGCCACATCTCCCTGGGGGTTATTCCTTGTCAGCTCTGATCTTTCCTTGCTTTCTTTTTATTTCCAGGAACCAAATTTATCATCTTTAACTCAGCCCTTAAATCTTCTTTGGGGAACTTCTTTAAAGTGGCTCCAAATCACTGCAGGGAAAAAAATCCTTTTCCTGAAGTGCTGGAGGGAATGATGGTTTTCCCTGTGGAAAACCTCAGCAAGGGGGAATTTTACCCATAAAAATGTTCCTGAGCATTCCTGGCTCCTCTCTGGAGGCAGGAGCAGCATAAAAAAAAACCATGAGAGAGTGGCCTGGCTGTAGCTCTGTGACCCCTGAGTGAGGGTGAGGAGGAGCTGGAGCTCAGGAATTCTCCCAGAATGAATAAGTTCAGAATTGGTAAAATCAGAATTGATAAGTCCCAGAATTTAATAAATTCAGAATTAGTAAATCCCAGAATTTCCAAAATGCTGAATCCTGCCTGTTCCACCTCCCCATCCCCACCAGCAGCTGGGGTTTGCCCTTCAAAATCTTAGGTCCAAAAAACTTTTGCCAGATGCTCCATGGAGGGTGAAAATAATCAGATTTTCCCAGGGCAGGGGGGATGTTGGTGAGGAAAGGAGGGACAACGTGACTGAGCCAGCACCCCCAGGCTGTGATTAAGATCTCTGCTCTGAACAAACATCTGTCCCAGCTGTTAGGGGTGCCTCCATTAAGATCCCTGCTCTGAACAAACATCTGTCCCAGCTGTTAGGGTGCCTCCATGAGCCCCATCCGGTGCTGTCTGAGCCCTGTGCCCTGCTGCAGGAGGGGTCTGCACTGCAGAGGGAGGGAGGGAGGGAGGGAGGGCAGCTCAGGAGATGCTGCCCATGTGCAGGGCTGAGGCTTTGCAGAGCTGTCACCCTGGGCTGGTGGAGGTGGCCCAGCACAGCTCAGCAGGGAGGTCACACGAGCACCAGGAATAGAATCCCAGAGTCACAGAACGTCCTGAGCTGGAAGGGACACACAAAATCCAGCTCATGACCCTGCCCAGGGCAGCCTCAAGAATCCCATCACGTGTCTGAGAGTGTCCAAACACTCCTCAAACTCTGGGAATGGTGCTAAAAACACCAGCTCAGAGCAGTGGGTGGGGATAACCCTGCAGAGATTTCAGTCTTGCTCCTTTGGTGTGTCCCTCCTGATGTTTAGGGGGCTACACTGCATCCCCAGAGCAGGGATAATTCCCTAATTTCCCCTGTTCCCTGGGGAACGAATGCTCATGCCTGTGTTTGTCCCTGCAGCCCAGTTCAGCTCCCTCCTGTCTGTCATCCCAAATTTGCAGTTCAAACCCCATCCCAAACATTTCTGCCTCCTCCTCATCCTCTGTCCCAGGCCCTGAGCATTCCCAGCAGCTCCCAGAGGTGGCAATCCTGCTTAGGGAATAAATCACCTTCAATAATCACCTTAATTTCCATCATCTCCTGCTCTGCCACTTTGCTGAGCTCTGCTGGCTGACCTGGCCCTTGCTGCTGCTCAGGTTGTTAGTGCTGGAACACAAAATCCCAGAGTGATTTTATTGAGGAGCTCTGGGAATCAGGGGTGCAAATCTAGCTCCAACATGGATCCCACATGGACATGTTTTTATGCCCTTTTTGTTATATAACTCTATATTAATTATTAAACCCATATTGTTCTATTGGATACATTGATTTTATCCAAGCATTAATTCTTGTCATTTTCATTAAGCCCCCCCCAAATATCCTTTCTCATGATTCTTGTTACAATTACATCATTTCTCATGATTCTTATTACGATTAAACAATAATTCTATTCAATTACCAATCATTACATTTAACAATCACATCATTGATCACATGATGATTACACAGGTGGAGCTTCACATGATCTAGAGATAAACAAAACTCAATATTCCTTCCCAGGGCCCAGTTCCCTTTCCCAGCCCTACCAGACCCAACCTTCCTTCCCACCCCCTGAATCCATTGTAGGCAATTCCCATGATTTTAGAAACATTTTAACCCTATGCTGGCAAGGTGAGTGTCACGATTAGTTAGGGAATTAACCCTTTGAACGGTGGTAATAAGATACACAGCAACATGGTCTCAAGATAGGAAAGAGAACTTTATTCGAACTTTATTCGAACTTTATTCGAATTTTATTCTAATTAGAACTTTATTCTAACACACCTTGCTTAAGCACAGTGACTCACTACTCCAGGGGCAGAACAGAGCTGATTGGCTGGAGCAAGAAACACCTCTCATACAAATGTTTTAATTATAAACAACAGAGTTCTCAAAATGCACACTCTGTAAACATCGAAATAAACAGGTGCCTTTGTTTGCTCCTGGGAAATCCTCTGCTCCCAGGGAGACCTCTGTGTTCACACTAAACTGTCCCAGGGGCTTCCACAGGTCACCCCTTTTTATTTAGGAAAAAGGAAAAAAAAAGAAGTGTTTGCAGTCTGCTGCAGGGCCCCGTGCAAGAGACTTGAAGATACCTTGAATATTCACACCTTGCTGCTCTTTTTTGCAAGAGGCTGCAGAATATTATTTCTCATACAATAATAACAACTACTATAAACCCAAAACCTCTTAACCAGAGTATCTTCTCATACCTGATACATCCATGAAATCTATCTGACTTTATTGTAACCCTACCTTCCAGAGCAGGCAGTGCCTCTTGCACAGATGTTTTCATTGTAAGCAACAGAGTTCTCAAAATGCACACTCTGCAAACAGCAGCAGGTGCCTTTTTTTTGTTCCTGGGAAATCCTCTGCACACAGGCCAGCTCCTGGGAGACCTCTGTGTTCACACTAAACATTCCCATGGGCAATTCCACAAATCCCCTGCCCTGACACAGGGACAGCAGCTTTGCTGAGCCCTCCTGCCTTACCTGGCCCTCAGGTGAGCATCACTTTATGATCCCTGTCCTTTTTAAGAGCCCTGTCCCTCCCTGCAGAGCTGGACAGGGGTCTGACCGAGCCTCAGATCCAGGTGATTTGCCGCCAGATGTTGGAAGCTCTCCAGTACCTGCACAGCAAAAGGATCATCCACAGGGACCTGAAGGCTGGGAATGTTCTCCTCACCCAGGATGGGGACATCAAGCTGGGTGAGTCCCTCACTCCACACCCCCACCAAGGACAGCCGGGCTTGGATTGTGAGGTTTGGGTGTCCCTGAGTGTGTTGGGATTGAGGGAATTGTCCAAGAGGAGCAGCAGGATAAGGAGGAGGAGATTTTAGGCACAGAAATGGAGCAGCACAAATGGAGCTGTGTGATGTGCTGAGCCCACAGCCACACTCGGGGTTTTGGCTAAGAAATAAATCCTGAAATGTGGGAAGAAGGGAATCTGGAAATCAGGAAATAAATCCTGAAATCCAGAAATAAGGAAATAAATCCTAAAATCCGGAAATAAGGCAATCTGGAAATCAGGAAATAAATCCTGAAATCCAGAAATAAGGGAATGTGGAAATCAGGAAATAAATCCTGAAATCTGGAGAGAAGGGAATCTGGAAATCAGGAAATAAATCCTGAAATCTGGAAATAAGGCAATCTGGAAATCAGGAAATAAATCCCGAAATCTGCTATGGAGGAATGTAACAGCACTTGGATTTTCCTGAGGTGTTTTTGGATGATTCCTGAATTGTTTTTTGGGTGATTCCTGAATTTTTTTGGGGGGTGATTCCTGAGGTGTTTTTTTGGTGATTCCTGAAGTGGTTTGGGTGATTCCTGAATTGTTTTGGTTATCCCTGAATTGTTTTGGTTATCCCTGAATTGTTTTGGGTGATTCCTTAATTGTTTTTTTGGTGATTTCTGAATTATTTTGGGTGATTTCTGAGATGTTTTTTGGGTGATTTCTGAGGTGTTTTTTGGGTGATTCCTGAGGTGTTCTTTAGGTGATTCCTGAATTATTTTGAATGATTCCTGAATTATTTTGAGTGATTCCTGAGCTCCTTTTTGGTGATTCCTGAGATGCTCTTGAGTGAATTTTCAGTTTTCCTCTGGCCTCTGACATCACTGCTCTTTGCAGCTGACTTTGGAGTGTCTGCCAGGAACATGAAAACCTTGCAGAAACGAGATTCCTTCATCGGGACCCCTTACTGGTGAGTCCCTGCTTGCTGAGAAATCCTCTGCTCACAAAGGATTTTCACTCCTGAAAATCGGGTTTGCTCTGATGGGGTGTGTTGGACCACGGTGCATTAAAGTGGGAGGATTTTAATGAGGATTCTTGGCTATTTTCTGCATTTTCAAGGGTTTTCCTTACCTGAGCAAAGGCTCAGTGATGTGTGAGCTCTGTGTGGTGCTCAGAGGGGTCTCAGAGATGTCCAGGTTTGGAGCATGGTCAGAATATCTTGCCTGCTTCTTTTTGAATTCCTAACAATAGAGCCAGATAGGAAAGGCTTCAGATAAGAAGTCATTAAACAATTTTAAATTATTTATAAAAATTACTTGGCCCAAATTATAATTTTTTTTTTTCTCCCAAAAATGCTCTCATAAACGTTAAATGGAATGAAAGGAGAAGCAGCCCAACATTGATTTTAATGAACATTTTATTGTTATGTATAATAGAACATTATGAATGCAATGGAAACAAAGTTTTATCAATTTAATAATAAAAAAGGAAATCCAGCATAAGAAAAGGGAAGCAATAAATTTCATGCCAATAGTATATTGCTTGTTCTTAACAATATTCCCAGCTTGTGAATATAACAATGTCTTTGTGTTCCAGATTCTAAAATCTTGATTCATGTGAACTTAAATGCAGAATTACAGAAGGAAAAAACAAACTCCCCCCAAAACCTTAATTCATTCTCTTGCTTTCAGTAAATCAGTAAAATCTTTGACTGCTACAGGTCTCCTTTATTAATATATATATATATATATTTTTTTTTATTCCTCTATTGGATTGCACAGCTGCTAATGCCATATTTACACAAAAAGAATCACCAAGTGTTGTATAAAAGTCGGGTGATTTATAGGTTGTGTTTCTAGAGGGATTTTTAGGTTGTGTTTCTGGGGTGATTTAGGGGTTGTATTTCTGGGGCAGGGACTCGTTCCCATGTGCTTGGAGTGGCTTCAAAGCCCATCCCACCCCTGGGGTGGGGAGAGCAGAGAGAGCTAAAATCTAAAATCTAATATCTAATATCTAATGTTTAATAAATATCTAATATCTAATAATTATCTAGTATCTAATAATTATCTAATATCTAATAACTAACAAATATCTACTATCTACTATTTAATATCTACTATCTACTATCTAATATCTAATATCTAATATCTACTATCTACTATCTAATATCTAATGTCACTTGCTGAGGGGCTGGAATTGCAGGGGTTAATTGATGCTCTGAAGCAACATCTGTGCCAGATGTTAACTGGCCTGGGGGTCTGCAGGGGCTGCTCTGAGGAGGAGGGAGGGTTTGCACAAAGATGAGGGTTTGGCAAAGATGCTGCTGCTGCTGCTGCTGCTGCTGCAGCCCGGAGCTGGGAGGGAAAATCTGCATTTTCTGCAGCGCTGGGGCTGATTTGGGGTTTAATCGCTGCTGCCAGGCTCACGCCAGGCTGGCAGCAGTGTCAGCCCAGCCGTGCTGTGCCCTTGGCAGGATGGCCCCGGAGGTGGTGATGTGTGAGACCATGAAGGACACTCCCTACGACTACAAGGCTGACATCTGGTCCCTGGGCATCACCCTGATCGAGATGGCCCAGATTGAGCCACCCCACCACGAGCTCAACCCCATGAGGGTCCTGCTGAAAATCGCCAAGTCCGACCCACCCACGCTCAGCTGTCCTTCCAAATGGTGAGGGGGCAGCACGGGGACATCCCCCAGCCCACACACACACACACACACACAACACTCATTTTTCACAGTTTTCTGTCATTTGAGTCGGCTTTGAGCTGTGTTTCAAGCCCAGCTGTGTGCAAGGGGCTGGGAAGGCTCTGCTGGCCCAGGGCAGGATGGTCACACTGTGCTCACAGGCAGCACAGGGGGAGCTGCTCCTCACCCACAGACCCCCCAAATCCCCCCCAGAACCAGAGCTGACCCCTTGGCTGCTCTCAAAACAACCCTTGTGTATGAAAGGCAGATTTTTCTCTAAAGCTGGACATGGCCAAGAGCTCCAGAATTGTTTTCCCTGAAGTCTGGGAAGCCCCTTCTGCATGTAAAAGAAAACTAGCCACTTTATTTATTTCTTTATTTATTTTATTTACTTATTTTCAAATCATCAAAGCTGCTGCAGGTCAGCCAGCAGCAAATTGCTGGCAGAGCACTGGAGTCACAGCATTGTCACAGCATTGTCACAGTCATTGTCACAGGCAGGGTGGGGACGCTGCCTCTGGAGCCAGAAGTGACATCAGGGAGCTCTGGGCTGCACTTTGCAGGCTGAGGGTGCCCTCCCATGGGGTTCCTGGTCCTTCCCAGCCACCCTTTGCCACTGGGGCTCTGGGGGTGGCTCCTTGTCCCCAAGCAGCTCCTGCCTTTGGGGACAACTGCTGTGTCCTGCTCTGCCTGGGGCACAGGGGCTGGGGCTCAGTCCCCACCCTCTGCTGCCAGCACAGGTAAAGGCAAAACCTTGTCCCTGACCCAGCCCTGTTGTTGTTTCTCATAGAAATAATCAGAATTACTGAGCACAGGGTTTCCCATGGGAGCAAAATGCTGATTGTGGCCAGTTGCAGGCTGGGACAGAACGTGCTGAGGGACCAAACTGATCCCTGTGATGTTTGAGGCTTTTCCTCTGCCGAATTTCTCACCACCAGCTGTGTTTTAAGGTCCCAGGAATTCAGAGATTTCCTGAAGAAGGCGCTGGACAAGAACCCAGAGACCCGGCCCAGTGCTGCCCAGCTGCTGGAGGTAGGGACCAGACCAGAGACCCCAGACTGGTTTCAGATCATTTCTGTCTTGTTTAGAAAGTTCACAGCACTTTTCATGCTCCACAAAGGATCAGCAATGATTTTTCCTTTTGGAGCAAGCTACAGAACCCCTTTGGACAACACCTGGAACAGAATCAGCTCCTGCTGCCTGAAATCCCCCACGTGGCACCATGGGCTGTACCTGCTTAGCCCTGATTGAAATTCAATTCCTCTCCTCCTGTCCCTTCCCAAAATCACAGCAAAAACCTGGAAGCTGCTGTTCCCTGCTGGCTGCATCTCCCTCGCTGTGTGCTCAGACCAATCCCATTCCCATTCCAATTAAACCTTCCCCCAGGCTCTGTTTGCTCCTGCAGACTGCTCCTGGTGATATTTGTGAGCAGATATCTCCTTGTTTAAATGCTGCTGCTTTCCTTTTTTTTTCTTTTTTTTTTTTTTTTTTCTTCTGGGAGGTGCTGCTGCCATAAAGCAGCTTTGGGGAGCATCTGTGTGCAGAGCGTGCCCTGAACCTCAGCCCTACTTCTCTCCTGTGAATTCCTTTGGGGGTAAATC